TTTCTCTGTTTTATAAGTACTGCGATTGATAAAAACATACCAGTAGTTCAGTGATTAGGACATTTGACTTTCAAGTTCGAAACCCATTTGGGCTTCTTTGATCTAATCAGAAGGGTAGTAATACTAGTCCTCATACTTGGAGTACGATTCGAATTCAAGAACACTAACATGACTTTGGGCAGTGAGGTAATAGAAATAAATACATGAACTTGTTTCATTATTATGCAATCATATGAACAGATATTTTTGTTGAAGCACTGAATACTTCTCACTCATATGTCTAAAAATAGTTTTCAGGGTAAGAGAGAGGGAGGGAGGGAGAATTGTGTTCGTGTCTGAAGTAATTCATTAAACTAAAAATTCATCTATAGTACAAAAAGAAAGTAAACGGAACTGATTAGAGATCTTGTTAATTAGTGTTAGTCATCTTAGTCCAAATTAACAAATATCAATTACTTTGTTTCAAAAATACTAATTTTTTTTCTCTGCTCCTATCCTATTTTTCATTAATTTATTGATTCTTTATTGTTTTAATGAAACCTGTTTCAGTTACCTATTACTCAATATTGAATTTAAATTACACATAATGTACAGTGCTAAAATTCTCGAAGGTGGTTACTTTGGCTATACTTACTGATGAAGTTTTATGAATTAATATTGTTGCTATTGCCTTGTGGAATTCTGTAACATTAATTTTATTATATATGTAAAAGTGATTACAGTTGGCGAGACTATAATTTATGAACGAACCAATCGGATATAAGATAACAGGTCTGGGATTTTGGCGCGAAGTTCATTCGTCTATTTGGCTAAATAGCGTTTTGGCATTTTAGCCGATGTCAGTTCGTAATGAAAACCCTGAATCTAATTTTTAACCCTAACCATCAACTGTAAATCATAATTATGATTCCTCGCATTGGTTTGTAACCTTCATTTAGTTATGGTAAAGGGTGGACGTTCTCAAGGTCAATTTAACGTCGCTCAAAGGTCGTCCATAAATTATGGTTCCGCCCATTAATTTGGTATATAATATCTGGAAAATGTGTTTTTGTAGTTTATTTGAGTGAATGCTCACAAAATGAACACTTTAAGTCAATTTTTCGGTTTGCTAAATGTACAAAAAATACTTATTATGTGTAAAGAAAAGCTAGAGTCGATATGTTTTTTCCTATTTTTGTGGTATATTCTTTTGAAAGTTACTAATAAACAGTCGTTAGATAATATGAATATACGATTTATTATTGAAAAATCTTGCCAATGAGTTGACAAAAATTTAAGAAACAAAGTAAGGTAAACCTTGGTGAAAAACGTATTGGCTGTTTGGACTCAATAGTTCTGTGAACAGCGTATCGGAGTTCGGAGCGAAGGGTATTGTGCCCGATTACCAATGTCAATGTCATCAATGGAAGGCAGCTACATTCAATCGAAGAGCTCTCGACAGGACAAAACGCGTCCTGGATTCCACTACTAGCCACTATCCATCTTTGTTTATAAGTTGGCTTTTAACCTGAAAGGTCAATTCTATCTCTAAAGATTACATTTAACGATACCTGGTTATCAGTTTTGATTTGTGTTTATTATGGCCAGGTATTATATGCAATAAATATTAATTTAAATTGTCATCAAACTACTGTTTTCTTTTTATTAATTCAGAAGTTGTGTTACACTGAACAGTCATTGTAATAACAACATACTCCACAAGCTATCTACCAAACAATCAATACTACTTATTATAAAATCTTTTATTCGTTCCAATTAATAATGAATCGGCAACTGATTATTGTCATTTAAAAAGAAAAACATATATTTTGCTTACCTTGTACCATCATAAATCATTTCTAAATACATTTCATGTTGTTTGCTTGAGTCTTCCCGTTAATGTTTAGGACTGTAATTGATCACTCTCCTATTGGCATATGTGTACACTGTGCGCATTGCCTCGATATAGCCTTAAGTCACAATCTTTTTAAGCAAAGATGGATAGTGGCTAGCAGTGGAATCCAAGACACGCGTTTCGTCATGTTTGGGACTCGTTAGCTGGATGTACCTGCATCTCAGAGTCGATGTTCACTCTGGGACTCGAACCTAGTACCGTTCGCTTCAAACGCCATCACGTTACCCACTTAGCTACTAAGTCCTGATAGCCACTTGCTTGTGCAATGGGGTGAAGTTTAAATTCACTCGGTATTGTTTACTTGAATCTCCCCGTTGATGTTTAAGACTGCAATTTTAGTGTGCTTTAAGTTTTCAGACGACTTTATCGACTGATTATTTTTAAGTTGTCGTCCAAAACACTCGAACATGTATGATTATATTTATGTTACAGATATTTGCGTGACTCCGAACTGCAAACCACCTGGATTATTTATTTTCTTTGATCAATTCAGTGGATTTGCTGTTACTGCTTTCTGCGGTTCACTTTCAATTCATGTGATCAGAACTTTCTTTCATCACTAGGTCATCAAAATGTAAAATATTTTTCCACTCGTTTGGATGCCCATCAAAACTTAGTTTTCATTAGTGATGTTGAATATATATGACTCGTAAACGTGCTCCATCGACTAGTTCTGATCTTTGTATTAATTCATTCACAAATGACTCAGGAAAACACTGTTGATCCAGCCACTTGTTATCTGAAATTCTGCTTTGATGTTTGTTGGCCCAGTGAAAATATTTTTATAAGATTTGATTGACTTACACCTCCACAAATAAAGCAATCACGGAAGCAAAAAGAAGGCATGTACAGGAGAGAAACTCTATTGTATTTCGAAAGCTAAATGGTTTAATAAACCAATAGATTAGTCGTCCGAATTCGATGTTTGCTCTGAAACTCCTATGTTGCAAACACAATGCAAATACGTGGGAACTATTTAGAGAGCTTACAGGTGGGATATGCATTGGTGACGATACGCACCTGGATGTTTGTGAGCTAATTAAGTTTTTTTGTACGTTGATCATCTGATTTCATGCTTCCTATATCCACAAGTTTGAAGAATAGTTGTGTTTCAATTTTATTTGAAAGAGCATATGTATCCATACCAGTTTGCTTATAAATGAGAAAGAAGTACTTTAGATACTGCTGTTGTTCTGCGTTATAATGTAGTGTTCAGCCTGGAAAAAGGTACGAAGTATGTTCCATGCTCAGTATACTGTGCTTGGGGGAAAGTGTTAGACGTCTTTACTACCTCTAGAAGGAGTGCCACAAAGAGCTGTTCTCCAATCTTTTTCTTTCATTTTCACTTCATGGCCTGCCATCTTCTATGGAAATCACTTTCGTTAAGTATGCGGATCATATCACTGTATATAAATTGATTTTCACTTCTTCATATACCCGTAAAAGGAATGGGTTCTTTCCCCTCATTAAACAATGGTTTGCTGTTAATGGTTTCACACTTAATCCTTCTAACAGTTAAACCGTTAATTTTAGCATGAGACGAGAACAACACTTAAAGGTCCTGTTTGAATCATATAAAGTTTGTACTACTAGAAATTATATAATAAAAACAGCGTCAAAGATAAGTTATCTTAGTGTGGGTTTTATCTTTGATCTCTTTTAATCTTCTCATGTTTCAGTGATATCAAAGAAAGTCTCCTATCTGACTTATTATTATTGAATCTGATACTTACTTTCGCATTACTCAACATTTACTCCTTGCATATTACCTATTATTTCCTAATGTTCTCCATTATTCTTTTCCGAGCTCCTGAAAAAAAGGTTTTGCTATATTGTAGTGGATGCTGAAGACAGTTGGCAGGTTGTGTAGTGAATCGTTTAAAGTCATTGTTAATACAGTTGTGGATAGACACCTAAAATCTCGCAAACTCCTGGCAGGCGTTATCTTATCGCAGACGAACCATTCACTTCATTCATATCTTTCTCCTTGTATATCTTCCTTTAAAAGACGTGATATTATATTAAAGTCCATGCAAGCAAGCAAATATATAAAAGCCCTACAATACCATATCTAGCAAATATACTATGTAACGAATAGGCTGTTCGAGCTGACCCAGTCAATTACTTGTATACATTAACTTGCTTCTAATTAACAGTTGTACAGATTCATGTCTTATTTTTTAAAAAACATTTCAATTTCAAGTAATTCATTTACTTAATTTGTGTATGTATGCAAGGAGTTATCGGATTTTTTTATTTCGCAAAAGTAACTTGTTGGAAAATTTTGTGCTGGGAATTCTATATTGTGCTAAACATGTAAAACTGAATAGAGCCATTAATAATAATGATGATAATAATGATAAATGAACAAATGCTGTGTATAACTGTGTTTAGATTGGCGTAAAGAGGAAATGTCTTAGCCACATTTACCTTAAATAGTTAGAAATAGGACTGAGCAGAATACTAAGGTATTCCTCGTTCAACATTGATTTGGAAACGTCGACGGTTCTAAAACTATAATGGAGACGAATGACAGTTATTGAGAGTATTGTTTTGATCATCATTTAAACATTTTAAAAAAGATCATACATATGGATTTGATATTTACGATCAATATTAAGAATCATACGATATTCAATATCTAGTAGTAACAACAGGACAGTATTTAAAATTCAATTCAGTGTAAGAGATGAATAGCATGAGTCTCCTCAGATATTTTCATGGACTAATTAGTTTCTGAACTTAAAGTCTGTAAAGTTGTTAATTCGTTTAAAAAAAAGATTTCCAAAACAAGTCAATATCAAAGCATTTTTAAAGAATCATACAAAAGTATGTGATAGGCAAATGATTCAAAGATCCTTATAACAAGATTAAAACAGTAGGCGTAGCTAAATAGATATTCTCTGGCTATTACGAAAAGATCCTATCTGTACTCAGAGATACATCAAAGGTCACTCATTCGTATATCCATGAAATACAGACGATTTTATCACGAATTAGCAAAAATATACTACTTATTTTAATAAATAATTTTATCAGCATGGCTGAGTTAGTGTTATCGTATTAGTTTGTCTACATGCTTGTGTATAGTTTTTTTTCTTCACAGTCTATACGAAATGAAGAACTGAGTCGTGAATTACTACATCAGACGGCTGAACAAAAATCTGTATTAACATTTTTGGCAAATAAAAATACAGAAATGAAGACAAAAGAATTGCCCAGATTTGAGAAAGAATTGGATCGTGTTGAAGTTATGCTTGGTACAACAGCGTATCATAAGAAAAATGCAAAAATTAATTCGATTGTGAGTGTTGACCTATATAACATCATTTTATAGATGATATTCGTCATAGATTGACCTCATTTATTGTATCCCTGAAAGCCATAGAATATTGTGTAATAACCACACTAATAAATAGGTCTAAGAAAAAATCAGCAACTATAATGTAACATTGTTCTTGGGTATTGAATAATCGTATCATATTTGAAATGCTTAAAAGACGGTTTGCTACCATAGCTTTATCGTTGATTTCCGTCTATTTATGATTGATTCAATTTTTTTTATATAAGAAAGTATATCTAGGTATGGAAGTAACACACTGTATATGCTTGTTGAGCAACAGTAAATATATAATAATTTGATATACAACAATAAACCACAGTTAATAATAGTTTGACTTACAAATTACCTATTTTCCGATTACTAGATTGCAGGATCAAATCTCTTTTTGCTTACGTCATAACAGGTACCCAACAACCTTCCCAGTGGGACTGTACTCACCATCATAATTGTAGAAAAACTGGTAAATGCCACAGCAACCAGAAAAAATCGTATGACACTAAGAACGAATAGAAAACTGATATTAGAACTAGGTTTCATTCATTCTCCAAAAAACACTCATTTACAAGTCTATTTTACTGATATTCGATAACTAGTTAAAGAACATCACACATAAATAAAATAAGGGAAATACAAAGTAGATTAGACATAGAGTTGATACAAAATGCATATTACATGTTATATTGAACGTAATATATATGAAATCAATACAATGAATGATAAATTGAATGCCACAGTGAAATAAATGGATTTTATATGGAACAAAATATCATATGTAATTCGAACAGATATTGCACAATTACACTTTCTTAACACTTGATTACATATTATAGACTGTTAGAGAAAGTCAGTTTCTCCAGTCACTGGCATTTAAACTAATTAAAACCATGCTCATCATATCACTTGATCACTGAAGTGCCTTGTCGTCTTAATGATAAGTAAACTAAAGTTATCTAAAGTCTACTTACAAAAAAAATGTCAGTATTTTAAACAATACTGAATTGTTATCGTACATTATTCTTCACTTGATGGAACAATACAAAGCACAATTACATAATAATAATGTAGTTTGAAGCAAAAAATGATGTTGGCACTTTGGTACTTTTATATAATGCCACGAAAGAGGATTCTATCCTTGAAATTCGACATGATTTGCTTTGAAACATTGTTTTTATACACAGACTTCATTTGCTGAGACTCAGAGCATCTAGTTCACATTATTAAGTGTTTTTAATTCCGTTAATTTGTACATCAATGGCATTTTTATGGATTAAAAAGATGGTAGTATATCTTTTATCAACGAGATTTTATTATCCTAAAAATGAATAAGAAGGATTGTTGAAAATATAAGCTCTGATAAAGATTCAATAGCATCTATCAGTGAGAAGGACTGGTAATTTTAGTGTCAGGAAGAAACAAATGTGTAATTGAATCGTTTTTATTATATTGTTAGTTAATGTAGTTAAATTAATTGATCGCGCAAATCATATACATGTACTTGATTTTGATTAGTCCATGCTAACTATTGTCTAGTTTAATATATTCACTTTGCCTGCTGACTAGTTAAGTAAATCGTATATAGTTCAGGGTAATTTTGATGCGTCTTTTCAACCAGTGGTTAATTTGTTGTGAATTTGTAGTTAATGTATAAAAGTAACCAGTTTTGCCTTTTTCTCACAATAAATTGTATCAGTATTCTTCCCGTTATACGGTAATAGGTAACTAGTTATGTCCACAGTTATCCATAGTAGCAGTATGAGTCTTTTGACAAGTCATTACATTGCAAAAACCAATTTGTGAGAAGAAAACACCTCTCATAATCGATCTGTATTTCTCAGACAAAGTACACAGTTGTTAAATATCCGAAAAAAATCATATATATTCAGAATATTAAGGTTTTTTCTTTTTTTTCAAAGTAGTTTATAATTAAAACAAGTATTCAGCACTCGTTAAAAACATCTTCAAATGTAGCTAAAACAGTGAATAGTACCGAACATCAATATCACTTTGGAGCTTTCTTCTAAGCAATTCTTAACCAATTTACACTAAGTGAAGTAGAGAAGAATATTAACTTGTGTAGTGTAATTATTAGAATGCCATTAATACGATTGAATCCAATATAAAATGACTAGACAGTAATATTCTTCATATACAACTTGATTGTCATGTACTTTTATTTGTAAGCATAGATGTTATTAGGTATATAATCCCATAACCTTGACTGAATAAAGTCTATTCAAAATAAGTACTGTCTCACTGATAGTCTGAATCTAGGAGGGATATGGGTCAACGATGACATAATAGACACTAATTTGTTCTTATCTGATGTCCATAAAACTAGATTACATAATCGTAAGTATAACGGATGTAAAACGTGATTTAATTGAGTGATAGACGCCAAAATTAGATGGATAGCGATAAAAATCACTAATCAGCTTTCAAATATTACTTAACAAACTTTTCATAGGTGAATTTTCAGTGATAATGAAGTTAACACTGTCTCATTCTAGGTCAATCCTGTTAATGATTTAAAATGAACGACATCAGTTTAGGCCTTAAAAATGATACCAGGTTTTCATGAAGATTTATAACAAACACAACAACTATGACCTTCAATAAGGAAAGACAAAATGTGGTGATTTATCCAGGGTTTCGGTTAATTACTATGAAATTGTTAGACAAGAGACTAGTTGTTTACTTAGGTGACTATTGTGAACATTTTCATTCACATTTACATTTATTATGTTAGGAGACCGAAGGAAATCGGCAGGAAATCATGAACCTAGGTTTCGTTTCCTTTGGCACACGTCAGTAAGATATGCCTTTAGTCATATGAGGACTAGGGCTCTCTGATGGATTATTCCCGGTGCCACCTGGTTTTGTAGTTTGAGACGTCGTTACTGAGCTATTCGGGTCGTGACTGACACACAAATTATTGATCACAAAGCAATGACCAAGTTAATGTTTCTCAGGTTCTTCCTCTAGTGCAAACTGAGATACGGTCGCTAGTTTATGTGAACCAACATCACGTGTATTGTGTTAAGGAGATATTAGGTGTTTGTGTTATATCCTAGCGAAGATCAAATCACGAGTAACTTCTGAGACATATTAATTGACTAATATTATCTATATATTGTTATGGTATAACTATTCAGTAATTAGATTGTGTATATTTATATTCATCTTATTATAAGCTTCGTTTTGACCTGTAGATTATTATTGTATGATTTACTGTTCTTAAGTTATACTCAGTTTATTGATTACTGTCTCCCACGTTCGCAGCCACCTTTTAGCTTTATTGTGTACAAATGTTATTTCCTATTTCATGATGTGCTGCGGTCTGTTTGGTTGATATAGAGACCCAGTATGTCTGAAATAAATGATTCGCATAGTGGAAACTGGTATTGGTGTTCTGTACTCAAGTGGACGAACTAGACGGACATAGGATCAATTAGGCCCGACCGTTGTTGCTACCTTGACGTGGTGGTCGGGCTTGCCTATCGTGATGAAGCAACCGAGCTATACTGGCTGGAACAACTGTTCCTCAAGGTTCTACCATGTCAGGCAGGTCGGTTGAAGAGCGGTAAGACTAAAAGCAACAAACCCAAGGTCCGAAGGCAAATTCGTACTGCTGACTGTACAGAGGTGTGACAGCAGTAAGGTGTTTCCTTCAGACAACCAGCATGACAGCGATGCTGCCTTCCCACAAGGAGGGGTGGTGTTAGAAAAGGTCGAACCTAAAAATGCACACCTCACCTTACCTCACGGATTTCCGTCTCCGGCGGTAAGGCCCTTTGAAGAACGGAGCTAACACGTCAAAAACCTCCCACGAAAAGGCCGTGCGCGACCGGCCTCAAGCAGTTGTCCCTTGGGCACTGCGGTCACGCTCTCAGGTCACTGAGACCACCTCTAATCCAAGTTCCTTTTCAGGGACCTCCAGAAGAACCCTTCCACAGTGTGGGCAACCGGGAAGTGATGACCGCCCTCTTATCTCTAACAGCACTCAAGACCACTGTATTCATAATCAACTTCCGTCGTCACTTCCTATTATTGCTCCTACATCGACTTTCACCTCTAAACTTCCTTTTTCGGCTTCCCCCTCAAGTGTCACCATAGCCAACGATTCTAGTGCTCAAAACACTGTCCCAGGTCTACTGAAACCTCGCTCCAAACTACACATTGGAGCCTTCAACGTACGCACCCTATGTCAAATCGGTCAACAGGCTTCCTTGGCTAAAACCCTAGAGTCTCTTTTCATTGATGTATGCTTTGTCTCCGAAACACGCATGCAGGATTCCAGTGTGGTCATTCACTTGACCTCACCTCAGCAAAGCGGAGAGCCAACGAGATACACCCTCCGTGTATCTGGTGACCCGATGGCCAGCTCTCGTGGACTGGCAGGAGTAGGGATAGCACTAAGCATGAGGGTGGAACAAGCACTGTTAGAGTGGATCCCCGTCAACAGTCGTTTATGTGCTGTTCGGTTAAACGGTTCCGTAAGAACTCGGAAGGATAGGGACACACGTCGTTGCCTTTTCGTCGTTTTTGCCTACGCTCCCACTGACTGCAGCTCAGATGAAGTGAAAGATGAATTTTACAGAAAGCTTTCCGAACTTCTTCAGAAAGCTAAACGCTCAGACATAGTACTCGTAGGGGGTGACTTTAATGCCCAGATAGGTAGTTTAAACGAAACAGAAAGGCATTTAGGTGGGTGTTTTTGTATTCCGGCACAATGAACAGATAATGGTGATCGTCTGCTGCAACTGTGCTCAGACAATCGTTTATTTTTAGCAAACACAAATTTTAAGCATAAGGAGAGACATCGTCTAACATGGCGACCCCTTACACCAAATCAACGATGGACTCAAATAGACCATATTGCCATCAGTCATCGTTGGAGAGGGTCGGTAGAAGATTGTCGCTCATTCTGGAGTACCTGATTGGACTCCGACCACGCCCTAATA